ACTTTTCCAACCAGGATGTCCTACTGGTCCTTCCTGATAACACGTCCAAAGTATGTAACATGAAGTCTCACTATCCTCACTTCTAAGGAGCATTCTGGCTGTACTTCTTCCAAAACATATTTGTTCACTCTTCTCCAATATTCTTTGCCAACACCCTAATTCAAAGGTATCAATTTTTCTTTGGTCCTACTTATTCATTGTCAAGCTTTCACATGCATATGAGGCAACTGAAAATACCACAGCTTGGGTCAGGCTTAGTCCTCAAAGTGACATCTTTGCTTTTTAATACTTTAGAGAGGTCTTTTGCCCAGTGCCATATCTCACTCATTTTTTGACTGCTGCTTCCATGGGCATTGATTGTGGATGCAAGTAAAACAAAATTCCTGACAACTTCAATCTTTTTCCATTTATCATGATGTTGCTTATGTTCCAATACTGATGCCACATTCTTCTTCATACAGTCCGGTTTCTTGTATTATTTGCTTAGCATGCAGACTGAGTAAGCATGATGCAAGGATACAACCCTGATGCACGCCCTTCCTGATTTTAAACTATGCAGTCCTTGTTCAGTTCAAACAAATGCCTCTTGATCTATACACAAGTTCCTCATGAGCACAATTAAGTGTTCTGGAATTCCCATTCTTTGCAACATTATCCATAATTTGTTATAATCCACACAGTTGAATGCCTTTGCATAGTCAATAAAACACAGGAAAACATTCTTCTGGTATTCTTTATCTTTAGCCAAGATCCATCTAACATCAGCAGTGATATTCATCCTTCCATGCCCTCTTCTGAAGCCAGCCAGAATTTGTGGCAGTTCCTTGTTAATGTACTACTACTACAACTGTTTTTGAATTATCTTCAGCAAAATTTTACTTGTGTGTAATACTAATTTTTGCATTCTGCTGGATCACCATTCTTTATATATATGGATATCCATATCCATATATGGATCACTTCCAGTCTGTCAGATAGGTAGCTATCTTCAAACTTTTTGGCATAGAAGAGTGAGCACACTGAGCACTGCAGCAACTAGAGTGGGGCAGAAACAGGATTCCCATTGAATGTCAATCCAGGTCAGTGACTAGAGAAGCTCCAAATGTCTTAATCATTACTTCGTGGGGTTGTATATTTGCCACCTGGCTTCCTCCCTCTCCCTGCTCCTCAGGCCCCAGGGAAAGCACACATGTGGGGAAGAAGCATGTTCCCTTCTCCTTTGCCTAGTTAACCTGAACTTCAATGATAGATGTGACCTAAAACTGCCAACTTCAGTGCTTAAATGATGACATATCACAGAAAATCACTGAAATGGTAAGTGATGTATCCACAGCCTAGACATAAAGGACTATCATTTGTCACCGCACAGTTTCCTATTTCCTATGAATTCCCCAGGCACCAGTTTGCTATCTACCAAGCAGAATAAACAATAAAGTACAAAAATTCCAAAAATCACATATTCATGGCATGAAAGAAATCATGCAGCACTTAAAGGAAACCAGAGTGGGCTTTAAACATTAGTTCTTTACCATACTTGGGTTGTGAAGGGCAGAGCTTAAAATGAGCCATTACTTTAGCTGCTACCAGTATCAAGAAACTTCCTTTGGACCAATTCATTGCAATAAAGGCAGGTCTTTCTCATTTAGTCAATATTTATATTTACAGGGATAACATGTGGTAACACTATAGTGCTTACGACATGACAGACAGGGTCCTAGTAACTTTACAGAGAGTAACTCATTTAACCCTCACAAAAACCTTTCTGAGGGAGACATTCTTCCAGTCACTATTTAACCAAAGAGGAAACTGAGGCTCAAAAAGATTAAGTAACTTGCCCAAGGTCACACAGCTAGTTAGAAGCAAGATTTGCCAAGATTTAAACCCAGGCAATGTGACTCTGGAATCTGCATTCAGAACCACTATGCCAAACCATCCACAAATACAAGTTTTCCTACCTCAGCTACATCCTTAATGACTTACAATGCTCACAACAGTGGTACACCCTTTCCTCATTTATCAACATGGTTCCATGTGAAAACTGGCATTATGCAAAAATGGAAAATGATCACATCAGATCACAAAATGGAGGATGACTACATCATTAAATTACATCATTGCTGTAATACATAATTACATCACTGTCAAATTACATCATTACATCACTGCCAAACCCAGCAGAATCACAGCCCAGCCAAGCTGATACATAACCTTAACCAACACAGTCAGTGCTAATCTTGCCTTGCACCTCAGCATTTGTTACTGTCAGACATACATTGTTAAGGCACAAAATAGTTGGGTAGTAGATTTTCTTACTATTGTCATAAATGCGACAATAACAAGACAGTCGGTAAGTGACAGCAGGTGTACTAGCAAATTACCATGACTGCTCTCAACAAATGATCTCTCTTTGTCTTCAGAGAACACAGTCCCCTCAGGTGTGACTGATCAAGTGCGTGTCCTCTTACAAACTTGCCTGCATGTTCTCTGTTCTCTCAAAATGAATCCTACACTCTCTCTCCTTCTAAGAACTTCACTCTAAGAATTCTCTTTCTTTCCTTTATCTTCCATCTTGTCTTCTGGCTCCTTCCCCTCAACCTATAAACATGTTTAAGTTTGCCCCTTGTAAAAAACAGAAGAACAAAAAATTCTCCTTGGATATTTACCCACTTTTAATCCCGTAATTCTAACCACTATCTCACTTTATGACCCTGGGCAAACTGCTCACTCTCTCTAATATCCTTCATTTTCTGCATCTAAATACCGAGGGCACTGGACCAGGATGGCTAAGATCCTTCCGATCCCAACATTCATTCAATGTTTCCTCACGCAGAGCAGATGCCTTTCAACAAGTTTATTAAAAGTCAGCTAGTTTCTATTGTCCTTGGAAGCCCCAGTGTCAAGTTGATCTTGCAACCAGCAACGCTCCCTCCTTCTCTCCATTCATTTCCCAAATCCTGGTTTTCCTTTAAGACTGAACTTAAAGCTCAACTGTTCCAGGATCTCCTGATGTGTAATTCTTCTGAACTCCAGTTATAAACCACAATTGGGCACTCTCCACCTCAACTGCCTTTTCTTTTATATCGCTCTTCTGTGTATCTTTGTTCCTTCATCTAGGCTAAGCTCTCAGATAGCAGGGCTATATCATTTTTCTCTGTAACCACCAAAAGATCTCACACCAAGTAGGTCTTCAACCCAAGGCTGGGTGGCTGACTGAGGGATCATCCTATAGCCACTAAGGAAACTAATGGTCAAAGTACATTACAATACACTGATTATGAAGGAAGTTGCCTCCATTTTTCTTCTCCCTTCTCACATACACACATTTGCAAAACATAAACTTTTCATTCAAGAGCATCGTCCAAATTTAACAACATGAAATCTTAGCTAACTCTTTAATTTTCTTTTATCTGAGCCAGAAATGGTTATAGCCATGTTTCCCTTTGATCCAAACTTAAGTGATCACTGGCACTGCAACTTTATGGGATTTGGTTTGTCTATGTTCTACACTTCCATTAATATATATTCTCCATGGTTTAGTCCCCTTACTTTTCAACACATATAGCATTATGTTACTTCCTCACATTTCTAACCAAATTTCCAGGAAACATCTGGAATAATATTAGAGTTCGTGTTTGATCAAAACTACATCCTCTGATGTATTCATTTGGAAGTGACTAATTCCAACCATTAGGTTTGAAGTGAACATAGATGGATGTGTATGTTTCAAGAGTTTGTTAACATTTAACAACAGAGACATTAAATCACCAATGAAAATCCTAACAGTGTTCACTTCCTCTGCCCTAAGAAAGCTACTGAGGTGCTGCTCAGTACTGTTGAGTACTGTTTTGTGTTTTGTAACAATCCTGGATAACAACTAACTATTCAAAGTGAATCCCAAAGTTCTTGAAACAGAATTTTAAATTCAGTTTAATTTTTTAAAATGAATGCTCCAGAACACTGTACATATTAGAATAACCTAGGACACAAATACTACTGCCCACCTTCCCCCATCCTCTTCCCACCCTCCTTCAAAGATTTTGATCTAATTGGTTTTGAATGAGACCTAGGCATCAGGATTTTCTTAAAAGCACCTCAGCTATACTTAATGAAATACCATTGTTAAGTATTTTAAATATGATAACAGTCCTGTGGTTGTGTTTAATGGAAAAACTGGTGAAATTCAAATAAGGTCTTAGTTGAGAGTATTGTACCAATGTTAATTACCTGGTTTTGATCACTGTACTAAGGTTATATAAGATGTTAACTTTAGTGGAAGCTGGCTGAGGGATAAACAGGGAGTCTGAATTATTTTTGTAATTTGTCCCTAACATTGATTTAAAGTAAAACTTTTTTAAAAAAAGAATCCTTTACTTTCAAAATCACATACTGAATTTTTATGAATAAAATGCGATGTCTGGGATTTACTAAAAATTAAGTCAGCTGGAGGGCAGTGAGTAGGGGGTATGGATGAAACAAGCATATTCACAAGCTGGTGACTGTAGTGGCAAATAATGAGTACATGAAGGTTCACTGTATTTGTCTACTTCAGTATATGTGTGATATATTGGAGGAAAAGGTATCCCAGACGATTCTAACACACAACCAGGGTCAAGAACTACTTCTCTGGAGTTTGAAAAAGTGGTTACATTTAGTGAGCGATTTAATCTTCATTCAACCCTTAAGGTCACTCACTACTATTACCCCCATTTTTGAAGTGAGGAAACTGAGATAAAAATAAAGTAACTTGCCCAAGCAAGTACGTTATGAACCAAGATTTAAACTCTAGTTTAGTCTAGATCTAGGGACTACTCTTTTCACCATTACATTTTACTGCTGGGAAAGAATCTTCCTGAAACAATGGAAACACATCAAGTCTTAGTTAGAAAATGACTACTTCCCATAAAACTAGCATCACTGGCTATTCTGCCCAGTAGAAACAGATTCAGGAGGCACAGGGAATCACAATGAGTCAGCAACGTTATTTTCCCCCAGTATGTTACCTCTTTGATTCTTTTAACCAAAGCATTCTGATCAAAAGCAACGGCCTCTGCACACTGATGCAGGTGATCCTGATATCGGAGGCAGAGCTGCAAGACCTGCTGAGAATCCAATTTCTCCAGTTTGGTATTTGTTGGGGAAGTCTGGCCACTCAACAGCCCTTCAAAGCAGAAAAAAAGAATGAAATCAAATGAAATAGAAACTACTGCTAATAAACCTGTAAATCAAGGGACAGTTTAATGAGTTTACTTTTGTTACATATTAATGACAATCATAGCAATGATGATTTATGAAGCGTCTATTTTATGCAAGGTACTTGGCAGAGTATTTCCTGTACATTACTTGTTGTGCTCATAACTGCCCTGGAAAGTAAGGTACTATTAGCCCCATTTTACAGATGAGGAAACCAAGACAGAGAGGTTAAGTAACTTCCCTAAAGTCACACAGCTAGTAAATGGTTTCACCAAGACAGAGTTCCTGATGTATCTTTTATATGACTCTATTTCAAGGTATCAGGAGCTCTGGTGGTATACTGCCTAAGGCATCTGACTGCTAACCATTAGGCTGGCAGTTCAAACACATCAGCCACTCCTCTGAAGGAAGACTGGGCAATCTACTTCCATAGAGATACCACCTCAGAAACGCAAGGAGGGGTTGCTATGAGTTGGACCTGACTTGATGGCAATGAGTTTGTTTTTGTTTTTTGTATTTCAAGGTATCAGGAATATACATCCCTTCCACACTGAACACTTTGGAAGATGTATTTATGTAATTTCTTTTAATCAATAAAATGGTTAAGCTAAAAAGCAAGAAAAAGGTAATAAACTGTACAAAGAAACCACTAGGAAATGAAAAGATTTAAAAAGCATATAGACTATCAGCTAATACACCAGAAACTTTCATTCTTTACATTTCAACATCAGTTTAGTTGTATAACTATTAAATCCCATTATATTTGCATAAGACATTGTATTTGCAAGTCCTTTCACATTAAAAGATCTTACTTTTCTTTAAGGTGTGTGGTGGTGGTGTTGTTATGTGCCGTCAAGTCGGATCCAACTCATAGTGACCCCCCTCCTTGGGTTTCTGAGGCAGTATCACTACAGAAGTAGATTGCCCCATCTTCCTTCCGAGGAATGGCTGGTACAGGATAATTATTAGCACTTTCAGAGAACAAAATCAAGTAAAGCGGCTAAATGACTTACCCAAGGTCTCACAGCAAAATTCTGACTAAAACTCAAGCCTACTGAGTTTTAGTTAAGTGCTTTTAGCCAAGCCAAGAGTTCTCAAACTTGTGTCAGGACACTTTACACTTTCAAAAATTATTGAGGACCCTCCCAAGAGCTTTTGTTTAGGTAGTTTTATCTATCATTATTCACCTCTTAGAAATTACCTGAGAAATTTTTAAAATATGTATTAAGTCATTTAAAACAACAATAATAAACTAATTATATATTTGCACACAAATCTATTTTAAGGGAAATAGCTGTATTTTCTAAAACAAAAAAGTGAGAAGAGTGGTATTTGTTTACATTTTTTGTAAGTCTTCTTAATATCTGGCTTAATAGAAATAAGTAGATTCTCGTATCTGCTTCTGCATTTAATCTGTGGCTATTTCACATGTCATGTGATCTCTGGAAAACTCCACGTACACTTGTAAAAGAATGAGAGTATTTGAAAATAATGTCTAAATATTATTATGGGCACAGTTTTGGCCTCATTGAGACTTCGTCACAGGAATCCTCACCACCACACTTTGGAGCTCTGGTGGCTCAGTGCATAAGGGCATTTGACTGCTAACCAGAAGGTTGGTGGTTCAAACCCACCAGCCACTCTGCAGAAAGAAAATGGGGGCAATCTACTTCCATAAAGATTTATTACCTCGGAAAACCAATGCAATGGAGGTCTCTATGAGTCAGAATTGACTCGATGGCAGTGGGATGTGAAGTCATGCTCTGTTCCATACAGAGCCAACAACAGAACATAAAGTACATGGACATGTGTATGACACTAGGGCACATTCTGGGCATGATCACAATGGATCCATGCATGTGAAAACTGGTCTTCCTCACTCTTGCTCCCCAACCAACATGTCAACTCCTCACTTGTTCTGAGATATTAGAATTTAGGCCAGTGTTCCTTTTCTCAGAAAACAGGCTGCCTGATGAACTACCCAGCTGGGTTGTCCCAGGGAATGTTCAGAAATGCTGGCAAATGTGCTCAGATCTCCATCTGGCTTGACAGAGAAGAGCGCACAATTAGAACTTGAGGTGCTGCTCCGTTCTTCCATATTCCACAGCCATCCCTAGTTCCCTCAGGTATTCTGGTATTCTACTGCTGAGCCCAACACAGAAGAGCATCTGTTAGTCCAACCGAACCTGCCTCCAGGTAGTATCGTCTGGTAAATCTTGTATTTGCAGAAATAGGGATTTTTCTTAATTGGAATTCCTACTGAAATCACTATGTTGTTGTTATTTGCCATCAAGTAGGCCCCGACTCATAGCGACACTCCTTGGGTTTCCGAGGCAGTATCACTATGGAAGTAGGATTGCCCAACCTTCCTTCCGAGGAGTGGCTGGTGGGTTTGAACCGCCAGTCTTCTGGTTAGCAGTTAGGCACTATGCTACCAGAGCTCCCAAAATCACTATAGGTTCACACAATTTTATGAAATAATACAGAGAGATTCAGTGAACTCTTTATCCAATCCCCCTAACTGGTAACATTTAGCAAAAACTACAATATAATATGACAACCAGGATACTACACTGATTCAATCCACTGATAACATTCAGATTACCTAGTTTCTCAGTTTCACTTATACTCATGTGTGTACATGTATGTAGCTCTATACAATTGTTTCACATGTAGGTTAATGTATCTACCACCATAGTCAGATACTGAATGTTCTATCACCTCAATACGCTCTTTTATTACCACATCCGCCTCTCTCATGCCATTCCTCATCCTTAACCCTTAGCAACCACTGATCTGTTCGCCATTTCTAAAATTTTGTTATTTCAAAATGTTATATAAATGGAATCCTACCATATGTAACTGTTAGGAACTGGCTTTTTTTTTCACCCAACATAATATCCTAGCAATTCATTTATGTCATAACATATAGCAACAGTCTGTTCCTTTTTATTTCTGAGTAGTATTGTGTGGTTATCTATGTACCACAGTTTAACCTTTCACCTGTTGAAGGACATCTGTGTGTGTGTGTGTGTGTGTGTGTAAGCAATCTCTAGCTATTACAAACAAAGTTGCTATGAACAGTCATATACAGGTTTCTGTGTAAACGTAAGCTTTCATTTCTCTGTGATAAATGCCCAAAGGTACAATGGCTGGGTCACGTGTTAATTGCATATTTAGATTTATAAGAAATTGCCAAACCATTTTCCAGAGTGCCTGTACCAAGAAAATGGGGATTCTTCAGGCCACTAAAATGTCCTAACACAACATGGACAACCTATCACTGATAAGGAATACAGCCCCAAAGATGCAGACTTCAAGGGAGGCTTTACCAAAAGTTTTTTGGCCATCAAGCAAAGACTGAAGGAGTAAAAAGGAAGGAGTATCATGAAAAGAGAAATCAATGATTTGCCATTAGTAGTTTGCCAGGATAATGAGACAAAAGCCATAAAAGAAACAAAAGAAATATTGATAAATTCAACAACACAAAAATCAATACTCTTCCTGGCAGCCCACATACACGTGAAGAAATGCTTGTGATTACTAGCCATTGTTATGTTGTTATGTGCCATCGAATTTGACTCGACTCATAGTGACCCCTCCTTGGGTTTCCGAGCCAGTATCACTACGGAAGTAGATTTGCCCCATCTTCCTTCCAGGGAGTGGCTGGTGGGTTTGAACTGCCAGCCTTCTGGTTAGCAGTCAAGTGCCCTACCCACTATGCTACCAGAGCTCCCATTAGAAAGATGCAAATCAAAACAATGAGGTATCATCTCACTCCAGTGATAACAGCAAAGTTCAACAGAACAGAAAACAACAAATGCTGGTGAGAGTGTGGAGAGACTGAAGCACTTACACACTGCTGGTGGGATTGTAAAATGGTACAACCACTGCAGAAAATGGTATGGCACATTCTTAAAAAGTTGGAAATAGAAATATCATTTGATCCAGCAATCCCATTACCAGGAATATATCCTAAAGAAGTGAGATCCGGAGCACGAATAGATTATTATGCACACCCACGCTCATCACAGCACTATTAACAATAGCAAAGAGATGGAAACAACCTAAATGCCCATCAACAGATTACTGGATAACCAAACTATGGTACATACACACAATGGAATACCATGCAACACTGAAGAGAAGAATCAACACTAAAAACGAAGAATCAGTGAATCACCTTATAATGTGGAACTTGGAAGACATTATGCTAAATGAAATAAGTCAATCACAGAAGGACAAATACTATATGAGCCCTTTATTATAAAAACTCAAGAAAAGGTTTACACAGGGAAGGAAATTTTCTTTGTTGGTTACCAGGGATGGGAGGGGAGGGGAAGAGACGGTAAAGAAATGGATTAAAAAAAAAAAAAAAAAAAAAAACTCACAGCAAAATACACTATAAGTAAAATTTAAAAAAAGGAAAAATATCTGCAGCTCATTTCACAAAGGGTAAGGTAAGCTTCCTAATAAATAAAGAGCTCCTAGATATTACCAAGTAATCAATCAGTAAAAGAAAGGATATGAAGAGGCATTTCACAGAAAAGGAAATACCAATGCCTCTAACATAAGAGAAGTACACTCCACTCACTCAAAATAAGAAAAACAGAAATGAAAATTTCACTAATCCTGTATTACACTTACCAAAAAGGTAAAAATACAAAAAAAAATGTATGATAAAAATTCTATAGGTGGTGCTGTGAGGAAACAGGCATTGCTGTTAACACCTCTATAGAGGGCAATTTGGCACAGATATCCAAACTACAAATGCTTACATCCTTTGATGTAGCAATTTTACTACCAAGAACTTACAGCTACATTAGCACACATGCTAAATGATGTAGAATGCATATACAAGACTGTTCACTGCAGCACTGATTATAACAGCAGAAGACCTGGTCTCAGTTTGAATCTGCTACAGGGCCATCCCAAGCTACCAGAAATCTGAAGCAGAGGGTATAGAAG